CTTTGACCTACCTGAATCTTGGATGTAATCTTCACTTTAGTTGTAAAACTCAACATATTTTAACAAATCAATTGGCCAGATTGAAAGTAAATTAAGATTAAAGTGAAAAGATCATCACAATTTCCTTAACATTTTCATGACTCCACAAATTCAAATCACTATTTCACAAATCTCAAGACAAGGAGAAAGATAGAGAAAACTACTCAGATCTCATGGAGAAAACACAACAAAACTCAAAATTCATATATAAAAGCAAAGTCATGCAATCTATAACAATAAATGAACTTATCTCTAATTTCTTCCCAAGAAAACTCCTCGAAATTCCTCTATGAAGTTCCTCTGAATCTCTTCCTTTCTTTACAGCACACAGAATTCCTCTTCAAAGCAGCAATGAGGAAAAAAGCGGCAAGGAGGAAGAAATCTCTCACTTTCCCTCCACTCTTACAATCTCTCAAAGATATCTTCACAATTTAGACTCTCTACACTTTTTCACACTTCCATTTTGAGCCTCCTTTCCTGTATTTTTAGCCAAAGTCTTCTCTTTAAAGATGTGTCTTTAAAGATGTGGATGAGTTTGTCCAAGAGTTGCCTAAGCACCCCTCCAAAAGTTGTCCTCATCCAATGCATAGTTAGACATAACCGCTGAGCTCACCATCGGTGGCATTGAGGGCGCCGTCGGTGGGCCTTCTAAGTGAATTAATTCTAGAGTCTCGGGAAAATCTCATCGTCGGCGGGGTCGATCGCTCCATCAGCGACCTAGTTCAATTCTTTACATTTTGGCCCTTTTCTCTCCAAATTCGCTCCTTTTTGCATCTTTTTGCTCCAATGACCTATTTCATCATTTCTGCAACAAAACATCAAAAATACCTTTCTTTAAAGTGCAATATCATCAAAAATAGTATAAAATATGTATGAAAATATCAACATATTTCTTCTGGTCAGCTACTAGAGGCTTTTTCCCTTCAAGCATCTCTTTAAGTAATAGATGGCTTGCTAACAACCATCAATCAATTTTTATTAATGGTTGCTCCCATGGGTCATTCAATGCTTTAGAGTTATAAAACAACGAGATCCTCTATCTCCCTCTTTCTTTATCCTTGATTTTGATTATCTTTCAAGGCTTCTTAATCAAATGGCTTTTAGGGCTCCCCATACATTGTGTAGTCATAAATCTAATATGATTATCAATCATTTTGCTTTTTCTAATGATGTTATCCTTTTCTCTAAAGCTACTAAGCCTGCAACTAAATTTCTTCTTCAATGCTTAGAGACTTTTCAATCTAGTTCTGGTATGCAGTTCAATTCCCAGAAATGTTTGGTGGTGTTCAGCAAAAAAATTAGAGTTGAGCTTAAGCACTGGATAACAGACATTACTAGCTTTAGTACCAAGTCCCTCCCTTTGAAATACTTGGGTGCATATCTCCTTAAAGGGAGAACTAAGCAAATCCAATTTGATCACATTGTGGAGAAGGTTCAGGACAGGCTGAATTGCTGGGTGAACTCTTTTCTTTCAAATGATGGTAGAATTACACTCTTAAAAAGTATCCTGGCAACCCTCCCCTCTTATCTATCCCAGATGGCTGTCATGAAGAAGTCCACTCAGATCACTCTTGAAAGGATTTTCAATAGATTCATGTGGGCTGGTATGAGGTAACAAACCCATTGGGTTAGTTGGCAGAAAATCTGTCAGGCTACTAAAGCTGGGGGCTTGGGTTTTAAAAGCTTTCAAGAAATTTTCTACATTAATTTTTTTAAGCTTTGGGTTAGGTTTATTGCTCAATCTTCACTTTGGGCTAAATACATGTTGAGTAAATACTGTAATGATCAACATCCTACACTAGTGCAAAGAAAATTGGGAGATTCTAAAATATGGACTAATATGCTGAAGGTGAGAGCTGAGGCTGAAAATCTCTTCATTTGGGAAGTGGGGGAAGGCAGTATTAGCTTCTAGTTGGATAATTGGACTTTGGAAGGAAAATTGGCTTCTAAGGTCCCTTTTGTTAATGATGAATCCTTACAGTTTGTGAATTTTTGGGAGGAGGATGGCTGGATTATTCAGAAGCTGTAGTCCTTGGTAGATCCTTCCTTGGTTAACAGTATTCTGAAAATTCCTATTGTTCTTACCAAGAAGGATAGATTAGTTATTAAAAGAGGCTTTCCTAATATGTGACTTCATCTTTCATGCAGCATTGCTTTCCATAGCAGGATGTCTGTTGGGGATCAAAGATTTGGTGTAACCTTCTCTCCCCCTCTATGTACTTTTTCTGTTGAAGGTTGTTCCATAAGCTGTTGCCCCTAGATGACATCCTTAAATTGAAAGGATTAAGGGGACCTTTTTGGTGTGTTCTATACAAGCAAGATGAGGAGTCCTTGCATCATGTGTTTTTTAAATGTGTGGTGGTTCAACAAGTTTAGAGGAGCATTTTGAGCAAGATAATGATATCTACCTTACAGCTGTCTTAGAAGACTTTTTTCCAGTGTTGGAGGGATTGGCTGGATTACCATGTCTTTGTGTTGCCTTGTATTTTTTATTGGTTTGTGTGGATGGCCAGAAATAGTATCAAATTTGAGGAGGCTAAGCCTGAGGTGAATGGGATTGCTCACAACTGCCTTATCAATATCCAGAAACTGTCAAAGTACAGGAAGTTCCCTGATATTCTGACTTATCCTGCTTTGTGTGCTCCTAAGTTTCCTAAGTTTTCTTTGGTTTGTTGGCAGCCTCCACATTTGGAGTGGGTGAAAGTTAATACTAATGGTAGTTACCTTGCCTCTCATGCTGGTATGGGGGGAATTTTCAGAGATAGCTATGGAGCATGCCTTTTGTTCTTCCATTCTCCAGTTATGGATGAGGACCCCTTGGAAGCAGAAGCACAGGACATTTTCTGGGCCATATCCCTTGCAAGGAAGTTGGGTATAAGGAATCTTTGGCTTGAATCTGATTCTCTTATCCTTATCAATATTCTCAATAGACTCTTGAGCAGTCCTTGGAACCTGGTTTATTAGTCTACTGCTATCCACAATATGGGTATGGGGTTTAGTATTAGATTTTCCCACATTCCCAGGGAAGCGAATCGACCAACAATTTTGTTGGTAAGAGTTGGGTTGCATTCTAAAAAAGCTCTTCCCACTAATAGGGTGTGTCAAGATCTAGAGTTTCTTTTGATAGGAGATAGTTTGTCTCTCCCTTTTTTAAGAACTTCTTTTAGCTAGTTGGTCTGTGTGTGGGATCCCCTTTTGTCTAGGATCCCCATGGTTTTTTGAAGCTTTGTAGTTCTTTCTTTAATGAAATTTGGAGCTGTCCCAGCTCCTTTATAATATATATATATATATATATATATAAGGAAAAGAATTCTTGGTGGTGGCTGGTTCCTTCTCTGCTAGGGTTTCTGCTCTAATGGTGACATCCTCCTTGCTCAAGCTGGCTGGTTATCTTCTCTTCCTACTTTCCTTCTACTCTTTGTAGTTCTTTAGATTGGTGGGTGTGGTTAGATCTTCGTTTGAAGGTTTCTCCACTTTCCCGGCTAATCCTTTTTCAAATTTCTGGGTTACTGTTCCATTGTTGGGAACTCTATTTGTTCTCAGTTTGGTTTCTGTGTGTGCTCTATTTTGCTACTAATGGCTGCTCTTAACCCCATTTTCTTAGAAACTAATATACAATGGGCAAAAGCCATCTTTTTTTATGTTGTGGGAAAATGTTTTGAGACGTTGCAAAATTTTGAAAATCTTGTCTTCCCTCAATCTTATCATGATGCTACTATTGGCAAGGTAGATTGACCTTTTGTGAAACCTTTGGGAAAAAAAGGGGGAAAGGTTGCTTCCTTCTTCTCTGATAGTAATATTATGTCCCTAGCCAATGCTAAAAAATTCACCCTGTTGGCAGGTTTCAGTTCAGCCACCCTAAAATGGATGATAACATGAAATACTTTGATGAATTGAAATTAGTTGGTACTTGGAAGGTGGGGTTGATGGATGGCAGACATATTATGATTCATTTGGCCAAAGAAGAAGATTATGCAAGGCTTTTTGCTAAACAATTTCTCTTTTTAAATGGCATTTCCATGAAATTATTATAATGGACTACTGACTTTGATCCATCAAAAAGCCTCCTATTGTTCCCATTTTGTTCAAACTCCCTGGGCTGAAGTTACATTTTTTCAATCACCAAGTTTTATTCACCATTGGCACAACCCTTGGAAGACCTATGAAGTTGGATGCTCCTAATTTTAATCTCTCTAGGCCTCTGTGGCAAAAATCTTAGTTGAAAGGGATATCGCTCAACCTAAGGTGGATGAAATCTGGCTTGGAATTGCTAATAATGGCTATTTACAAAAAATTGTGATGGAACAAAGACCATATTACTGTCATAACTTCAAAATGTTTGGACACACTGATAGTGGATGCTTCATGCACCCTAAGAAAAAGAAACCTTCATCAGGATCTTTTTTCAGCTCTCCCAATCTGAATGTTAATCTACCTTTGGAACCTGACACCCCTCACAAGACTGTTGAACCTACTATGGGAGTTGACCCCCCTTCACCTACATAACTCCAAACACCTGCTAACACTTCTATCATTAAACTCACACATACTGTGGAAGTTCCTGTTGAAGGAACTTCTGATTTAGATCAGGTTTTTATTGTACCCGCCACTATGATTGATCCTTTACACATTGTTGTCTTTGATTCCCCATCCTTAGCTCAATCAGCACCTGAACTTTCTCCTTTTTTTGGAACCTTTAATCCATCCTCCACCCATTGCTGAACCTACTATCCCTATCTTTTCTTTTGATGTGGAGGTCCCTGTCAATAAAGGCTAAGCTGTTAGCTTCTTCAGCTAAAGTCTGTACTGACCCTCCTGCTTTAGCTCATACATATACAACTGAGTTTGAAGACAACCTGGTTCAACAGATGAATTTAGATCTGGAAGAAGAATGGCAGTTACATCAGTCAAGAAAAAAGAAGAAAGGTCTGTAGGAGCTGAAAAGTGGGGTATCAGTAGCTGGGGACTCTATGAACAAGAGCTTGGATTCTCTTCCTAGAACTAAAAGGAGGGGAAAAAATTTTATGATTAATCTCTTTTATTGGAATGTTAGGGGATTAGCACATCCTAGGTCCCTTAGCAGGTTACTCCACTTAAATAGGATGCACAAGTTTTGGTGTATTGCCTTACTTGAACCTAGGGTTTCTAAACATCAACCTATAATCATCAAGAAGTTCCCTGGATTCCAGTTTTCTCCAAATTGCAATAACAAGATTTGGCTTCTTTATAGAAAGGAAGTCACTTCGCAAATCCTACATGGTCACCCTCAGTTTCTTCATATCTCCCTTAATTTGGCTGGTTATTCTTCTCAAGCTACTTTTATTTATTCCATTAGTAATTCTGATGGCAGTAAAGAATTATGGAAGCAGCTTTTTGTGCTTAGCCAATCAATTTCTTCTAAGTGGCTGGTCTGTGGGGATTTTAACTATGTGGCTTCTCCTTGTGAAAAGGCAGGTGGTAGACCTCCTGAAATCAATAAAATGAATTTCTTCAATGATAATATGCAGCTCACTAGATTATATGATTTGGCCTTCTCAGGCCCAAAATTTACATGGAGAAGGGGTAATATCAGAGAAAGGATAGGCAGGGCCTTAGTTAATGAAGTTTGGCTAAATGATTTCCTGCATACTTCAATTACTCATCTGCCTATGACTGGGTCTGACCATAGACCCCTTCTTATCATAATTCAAAGCTCCTCCACACTCACTAATGCCACTTTCAGATATCTTAATGTCTGGTCCTCACATCATGATTTTCTAAAATAGGTGCTTTCTATTTGGACCACTTATCATCATGACAACCCATGGGTGAAATTATGGGTTCTACAAAAGAGACTAGCTGCTAATCTCAGAGCTAGGAACTTGTAAGTCTTTGGAAATTTGCACACTAAGGTTGAGGAAGCTGAGGCACTTGTTGAAAATTTGGAGGCCTAGCTGGCTGAAAACCCCTCTTTACAAGCTAATCTTTTCACTGCAAATGAAAACCTACTCAATGTTATCCACCTACAGAAGCAACTCCTTCATCAAAAAGTTGCACAAACACACTTCTGTGTAGGGGACTTAAATTCAAAATACTACCATGCCATCATTAATTACAGAAGGATATGTAATGAAATACATAAGATCAAAGATTCTCATGGAGTCTGGCTCAATACTGCAAGTGATATCTCTGTCAGTGTAGTGTAGTACTACCAAAATCTATTTACTCAGTCCATTGTGACTAGAGAAGTTGTATAGGTAAGCCTCTTTGATCATTGCAGAATGTTCACTTCCAGCCTTCAACAATCACATATCCCTTATGAAGAGGAAATCAAATCTGCTTTAGACTCTATTGACTACAATAAGGTTACTGGCCTGAATTCTATCAAAATGCTTGGAATATAATTAAGATGGAGGTGATTGAAGCTATGCAAGCCTTTTTCAAGGGTCTTGACCCTCCAAAGTACTTCATATCCTCCACCATTACCCTCATCCCAAAGGAGATAAATTGCAAGAGATGGGAGTTGTTTAGGCCTATTAGTCTCACCAATGTGGTTACTATGATTATTAGCAAAGTGATTGTTGCTAGAATCCAACCTCATCTACACAAAATAATCAGCATGAACCAAACTACTTTTATTAAAGGAAGAAGTATTGTTTATAATGTCCTATTAGCACAGGAACTCTACCAAGGCCTGGATAGAAGTTGCAGGGGGGTAATTTGATATATAAACTGGACATAAGCAAAAATTATGACACAATCCATTGGGATTTTATTGAGGAGGTTCTTCAAGCAAGAGGTTTCTCTCTAGATTTCATTAAACTAATCATGATATGGCTAAATAACAATGCTAACTCTTTTCTTATTAATGGGACTTCGAATGGCTACTTCAAAGAAACTAGAGCAATCAAGCATGGTGAGCCCCTCTACCCAACCATTTTTATTTTGGTTTTTGACTACCTTTCTTTAATGCGTAACCAATTCTCAAATTCATCTCCACATAATCAGTTCAAGCAAAGATCCAATATTGCCATCAACCACTTACCTTATGCAGATGATGCTATACTCTTCTCTAAAGCCACTAAACCTGCTGCTAGACAAATCCAAAAATGTCTTAATGAATTTCTTGTATGTTCTGTGCTTCTTTTGAACAAGCAGAAGTGCAGCATTATTTTCAGCAAAGGGATAAAAAAATCATTCAAATGGTGGCTTTCAGACTTCACTGGTTTCAAATCTTCCAGCTCCCCTCTAAAATATTTGGGGGTTCATTTGCTGAAAGGTAGGATCAGACAAATTCAATTTGATAAAGTGGTTACCAAGATCCAAACTAAGCTTCTCAGCTAGACAAACTCCTTTCTCTCTAATGGAGGAAGAATTACACTCTTAAAACATGTACTTTCTGCTTTCCCTTCCTACATCCTGCAGATGGCCACTATGAAAAAGAGCACACAACTGCTGCTTGAGGAACATTCAACAGATTTCTTTGGTTAGGTCAAAGAAACCAAATGCACTTGACCAATTTGAATACTCTCTGCAAACCTATTGATAATGGAGGGATTGGTTTTAGAAGCTTTAAACATCTGCAACATATCAATTTTTGCAAGCTTTGGATACACTTCAGGTCTCAGGAGTCCATATGGGCAATTTTCCTGAAAGGCAAGTATTGCAGAGATTGCCATCCCTCTCTTGCCACGCCTAAGCTGGGTGATTCCAAAATCTAGTCTCAAACGCTTAAGATAAAGGAAACTACTGAAGTACATTTCATTTTTGAATTAGGGAAGGGGAACATTACTTTCTAGATAGATAACTGGATGGGAGATGACAAGCTAGTTGGTGTACATGCAACCCCCTTAACCACAATACTAAGGTGCCAGACTACTGGAATGAGGGACATTGGAATCTCCTTTCCCTTCAGAACATTCTAGATACCTCCACCATTCATAGGATTACTAGCATACCCCAGGATAATACCAGGAAAGATAAAC